CCAGAACCAGAATAGCAATTCTAGTCAAATTCAATCAATTAATACTGGCTATCTAGAGTATGCAAGGCAAGCTTTGCTGCAAATAATACAAAAACAGTTACAGTAGTACGGCAACAGGGAGCTTCCCGGAATTCAAATCGGATTCAGAAGAGGATATGGAGGCAGTAACACAGTTGCTAACATTAGATGGATCTTGGCTGAAAGCAGAGAATGCCAGACAATTATTTATTTGTGTTTTACTGACTAAGCAAAGGCATTTGACTGGATAAATCAAAACAAACTATGGACAATCGTGGAAAGAATGGGAATCCAGAGCACTTAATGGTGCTCCTCCAGAGCCAGTAGCATTTCTAGACCAAGAGGCATTGTGGTCCAGAGAACAAGGGGATACTGTGTGGCTAAAAATAAGGAAACATTGTGTCAAACCAAATTTGCCACCGAGTAGATATAAGTCAGCACTGACTACAGGGCGCCTAATTACAATACATACATGTAAAAGTTGTGAAGTCTATAAGGAAGACCAGAGAAGAACTGACACATTTGAAATACGGTGCTGGTAAAGATTATTGAACCAGGGCTACTGAAAGAAAAAAAAAGCGAGGGTTGGAGAGAGAGGGAAAAAATGAGGAACTGATATCAAGGGCTCGAGTAGAAAGAAAATGTTTTGAAAATGATGAGGGCAACAAACGCACAGAAGTGCGTGACACATGGATGGATGGATGGATTGTGATAAGAGCTGGATGAGCCCCCTGTCTTGGAAGAAGGACAGCCAGGATACTCCTTAGAAGCGATGACACTGAAAGTCCATCTCAGGGACTTCGGGCATGTTTCCCGGAGAAACCAATCCCTAGAAAAGGATACGACACTAGATAAAGCCTAACCCCAAACCAAACTCACCACTATCAATTCGATGCCAACCCAATAGCGATCCTGGAAGACAGGGGAGAACTGTCCCTGTTGAGTTGCAGGGGCCAAGACAGTAACTCTTGACCAGAGTAGAAAGCCCCATTTTTCTCCCTCTGAGACACTAGTGGTTTTGAACCTCACACCTTGTAGCTAGCAACCCAATGTGTAACTACTATGCCACCAGAGCTTCTTCGGTAGAGAGTCATCAAAACAGAGGAAGACGCTTGAAAAGATGTACTGATATAATAGCTGTAACAATGGGATCGAGTACAGCAATTCTGAAGATGGCATGGTGTTCCATTCTGTTATACATAGGGTTATTATAACTACATCCTTAATGTTTTCTGATCCTGTTTTGTGATAGTCTGTAAAGTTCCCTAATAAACTTTCATAATTGTGATTATTGTCTGTGAGTTCTGTGTTGCCATTGCAACAAATATTGAATCTGACAGAGGAGTAGGGACTGGCAGGTGGTGGGGTGGACCCCTGGTGTCAGAATTGAGTTAAAGAAGGGCAGAGTTGTGAGCTATGTCTGACCATGTAGTAAATGGCCTTGGGTTGGTGTAGAGTTAAATTCTCCTCTTGGCCTGTTAACTGCAAGGTCAGCAGTTAGAAATCGCCAGTCTCTCAGAGGGAGAATGATGAGGCTTTCTATTCCTGTAAAGAGCTAGTCTTGATCCCCTTACAGAAGGGTCGCGTGGAGGAGACAAGCCAGTCAGAGCGCAGCAATGATGAAACATACAACTTTCCTCTAGTTCCTAAACGCTACCTCCTTCTATCATGATCCCAATTCTACCTTACAAATCTGGCTAGACCAGAGGATGTACACTGCTACAGATAAGAACGGGAAACACAGGGAATCCAGGGCAGATGATCCCTTCAGGACCAGTGGTGTGAGTGGCGATACTAGGAGGGTGGAGGAAGGGTGGTGTAGAAAGGGGGAACCGATTACGAGGATCTACATGTGACGTCCTCCCTGGGGGACGGACAACAGAAAAGTGGGTGAAGGGAGACGTCGGACAGGGCAAGATATGACAAGATAATGATTTATAAATTATCAAGGATTCATGAGGGAGTGGGGAGCAGAGAGGGAGGGCAAAAAATGAGGTCCTAATGCCAGGGGCTTAGGTGGAGAGCAAATGTTTTGAGAATGATGAGGGCAATGAGTATACAAATGTGCTTTACACATTTGATGTATGTATGGATTGTGAGAAGAGTTGTATGAGCCCCTAATAAAACAATTTTAAAAAAAGGGCAGGATACACAGGGAATCAAGGACAGATAAACCCCTCAGGACCAATGAGAGCAGCAATACCAGGAGGTTAAGAGGAAGGTGGGGGAGAAAGGGCGAACCGATCACAAGGATCTACATCTACATGGTAACCATCAAAGAACCCCCTCCCTGGGGGATGGAGAACAGAAAAGTGGGTGAAGGGAGACATCGGACAGTGTAAGACATGACAAAAACATAATAATTTATAAATTATCAAGGGTTTGTGAGGGAGGGTGGGGGAAGGAGGGGGAAAAAATGAGGAGCTGATACCAATGGCTCAAGTAGAAAGAAAATGTTTGAGAATAATGATGGCAATAAATGTACAAATGTGCTTGATACAATGGATGGATGGATGGATGGATGGATGGATTGTGATAAGAGTTGTATGAGCCTCTAATAAAATGATTTTTTTTTAAAGTTAGTCTTGGAAATCCACAGAGGCAATTCTATTCTGTCCTTAAGGGTCACTACGAATCATCATCAACCCAATGGCAGTGAGTTTGGTGTGTGTGTGTGTGTGTGTGTGTGTGTGTGTGCAAGGTGACAGAAGGTCAGATGTGGCCTCCAGTCATTTTTGCATCTGCCCTAGGTCCTCTGCCCTGAATTCAAATTTTCAGCCTGCTAAACTTTCAGAAAATAAATCTGTTTGTTAAAGCCAACCTCGTGGTATTGCTGCTATACCAACCAAAGCCAAACTAGATATCACCTATTCGATTCCAAGTCATGGGCACCCTATAGAGCATAACTGCCCCTCTGGGTTGACAAGACTGTTAAATCTCTATGAGAGCATACAGCCTCATCTTGGTAGGTTTGAACCGCTGACTTGCAGTTAGCAGCTCACTACATAGCCCACTATGCTACCAGGGCTCACTAAAAACAACATCTAAATGGCTTATTTGTGTTTTTCTCTAGAAAATAGTCATTCCATTCCTTTGACAACATTTCATTTTTATGATTTAATATAAATTAATTAATTACTACCCACTGTCGGTTTGCCATATTGCATGTTTCTGTAATACAGGAATCTATGTCATCAAGTACTTCAAACACCAACAGTATCACCCATGGTGGACAGATTTCAGCTGTCTCCAGATTGAGGCAGGTTAGGAGGAAAGGCCTGACAATCTACTTCTGAAAAATCAATCAGTGTGACCCTATGGATCACTACAAAATACTGGCCAACATAGTGTCAGGGAGATGAGCCACTTTAGAAAATGAGCCCAGTCCAAATACTCAGTGGTCACAACAATGAATTCTAACAATCCAATAATCCTGCAGGACTAGGCAACATTTCCATCGATTTTATATGGGGTCACCATGAAATGGAGACAACCGATGGTAACCAGAGATATAAATTACAGAAAGGAAAAGCTCATTTAAATGGAGCTTCCCATTAGTTGGGCATAGATCATCAAAGACTGATTGTGTGGGGGTAAAGAGATGCCAAAGGTTTAAGTGTAGAGGAGACAAAGATTGCTCCACTTTTTGTTCTGCGATTTCAAAACGGAAGAGCAAATCACAGCAGTCAGGAGGAGATTCCAATGTGCTGTCTGCCTCCAAAACCAGTGTTTTATAAGAGCAGGTTCCATGTTAGGACTAAGCAACACACACGAAGGGTGGAAAATAGAAACTGTAAAGACTGAATTCCCTAGTTCGCATTAAAATGTTCGTGTAGCGGCCAGGACAGAAACTGAACATCCGTGGTGGGGATAGGGTCAAGTCTGAAGTGAAGCACAATTCTCCATCGGGAGTAAAGAGCTCTCTCGGGTGGTGCCTTGGCTAAAGGGCTTCATTGCTAGCCCACAGGTCCACTTATGGACCTAACTCGTCAGCCCTCCCGGGAGGAAAATGTGGCAAACTGTTTCCATAGAAACCCTAGGAGGTACTTCTCTGCCCCAGGGTCGCTATGAGTCGGGCATTACACTTTGCATGGTAGTGTAATGTGTCGTGTTGAAACGTTTAAAATATAAACAAACAAAAGCCTCACTGCCATCGAGTTCGTTTTGAAATAGTTCGTAACATAAGATAAAACACAAACACTACGGTACAAGTCTTGTGGCTAGCCTGACAGCAGCTGTCATCGGGCCGGCAAGGTGGGGTATCCGCATCCTCCAGCTCAGGTGTACCCTGAACAAGTCCCGCAGCAGTTCGCCACCTTTTTGTTGGGTAAGCGGCGTTGAAGAATCCCTAACGCTCTTCAAGTGCTAGCGACACAGGACCGTCTCTAAACCATCCAAATGCCCGATTTTCTGAAAACGCGAGTGGACCCCAGAAGAGCAATACGCGCCACATTGGACCACGAGTCCACGCCCGCCGTGGACCTCCACGCCCCACGAGGCGCCGGCGCCCTGGGTGCCCGAACCACGCGGCCCTGTCCGAGCAGGCGCGATCAGCAGTAGGCGGCCTTTGGTCTCGATTGTCACCTTTATCTAGTCCCTGCCTTCTCGACTTCCCCTCTCTGTTGTTGGAAGTCCCTTCGCCCGGAGCAGGAGCTGCTGTTGGGACGGAAACGTGCTGCTCGCACTGCAGTTACCTCTTGGTCTTCCGAGGCAGGGCGTGTCACCTGGGCGGAGGTCCTGACAGAGAAAAGCAACTTTAAGATCTCATACTGTAGAGAAACTTTACAGTTCGCCAACTCAGTCACATGACAAAAATCATTTAAAATAAAACACAAGACTAGATCCTTCGCAAGGCACAAGCATCGTTTTTCAAACGTCGTTTTCTTTTCCCATGTAACGGAGACTACTTACTAACAAGGACCTGGAACAACCGGCGACGCGTGCGCGTTCCGCCGGACTAACCCGAGAGTGAAAGGTTGCCGTGCGGCCGCGTCTGTACTCCGCTGGAACGTCCTCCGCGTTGGCCGCCATGGGGAAGGTGAACGTGGCCAAGCTGCGGTACATGAGCCGGGATGACTTCAGGGTCTTGACCGCGGTAAGGAAGCCTCCTCTGCCCTCCTCGTTCCACGCCGGGCCCCCTCTCCCTGTTGCCCAAGTTTGCCGGGAGCCGCGCGCACGGGCCTGCCTCCGAACGCCCCAGGGGCCTAGAGTTGGGGCGCGGGGAGCGCACTCGCGAGACAGTCTCAAGACTGGAGACTTGATCTTGCCGGGGGACTTAACTTTTCCCTCAAATACAGCAAACATCTCCCTCTGCTCTCATTCTGCTCGCCTTGCTCGTAAAGCAACCACGCTTGCTTCTGTGCCCCGGCGCTTCCGACCAGGCGTGGGAGAACGAGACGTCGCCTTGTGAATTCACTTAGGTGAATTCATTATTCACAAACGCATCGTTTATTTCAGTCAACGTATGTTTGCCGGGCTGTTCGTAGCCATTGTTTTTCAGGGGATTGACCTGGCATCAACACTGGAGGTAGGCGGATTGTAATGAAGTAAACGGATAAGTGAGCAAGGCGGCACGACAGGATAGTGAGGGCCTTGAAGTTGTGAAAGGGACGACGGAGTAGGAAGGGTGGTGCTGCAGGGGAGTCTACTTTTAAATCGGTCTGACCCAGAAGGCTTGTGTGTCTATAACCAGCCTTGTTAGCCGCCATCCACCCAGCTCTAATCCATAGCTACCCTGTGTCTACCAGACAGCCCTGCGCCATCCTCCCAATCTTTGCCCTGTTTGTCAATCCATCTCTTTTAAGGATCCCCGCCCCCCCGCCCGCCCTTTTCCTTGCTCCTCTACTTTACCAAGCATGACCAGCCCTTCTCCAAGGACTAGTCCCTCCTGATAACAAATCCAAAGTACTACGAAATATTCTAGCAGTACTCCTTACAAAACGCGCTCGTTGTTCTGGTAGTCTGTCATTCGTCCAATATTGCTCCCACCACCATACTTCAAAGGCATTCTTTGGTCTTTCTTATGCACGGTCCAACCTTTAAGCCATTGGAAACACTATGGGACAAGTACACCTTCGTCTTTTAAATAACATTTTGCCTTTTAACACTTTGCAGAGGTCTTTAGAGACATATTTACCTAATGCAACATCGTTTTATTTCTTCATTGCTGCATCTTTGAGCGTTGATTGTGGTTGCAAGTAAAATGAAATCCTTGACAGCTTTCATCTTTTCTCTTGTCATCATGATGTTCCTTACTTGACTGGTTGTGGAGATTTTTGCTTTCTGTTTGTTGAGGTGTAATACATATTGAAGACTGTATTCTTTGATCTTCAGTAGTAAGTACTTCAACTCCTCTGTTTTCAGCAAGCAAATTTGTATCATATGCATATCACAGGTTTTTGATAATTCTTGCTCTTACTCTGGTACTTTATACTTCTTAGAATCCAGCTTCTCAGAATATTGGCTCAGCATACCAAAACCAAAAACACCCACTACTATAGAGTTGATTCTAAATCACAGTGGTTTCCAAGATTCTGAATTTTTATAAGACCTGGCAGCCTCATCTTTCTCCCACAGAGCAGCTGGTGAGTTTGAACCATTCGCTACCTAACCCACAGCACCACCGGGGCTTGCCACGCAGATTGAATGGTGAGAAGATAAAATAGCTTTCCTGGTTTTCAACCGTGCACTCCCCTTGTTTTGTTTGAATGATTGCCTCTTGGTTTATGTACAGGTTCCACATGAACACTATTAAGTATTCTGGAATTCGTATTATTTGAAGTATTAGCCATAGTTTGTTATGATCCACACAGTCAACTACCTTTGCACAGTCAGGTAAACAAACACCGGTATTCTCAGCTATCCTCTGCTCTGAGCCAAGATTTATATGATGCAGTGATAGCCCTCTTTTTGACATTCTCGTCAGAATCTGGCATGAATTTCTGACAGTTCCCTGTTGATGCACTGCTGCAACTGTGTTTTGAATTATCTTCAGCATTTTGGTTATTTGTAATATTAGTGATATTATTTGGCAGTGTCTGCATTCTGTTGGATCATCTCTTGTGGACTGAACATGAATTTGGATCTTTTCCAGTCTGTTGGCCAGATAGCCGTCTCTTCTAAATTTCTTGGCATAGATGACTGCGCACCGCTAGCTCGGAACCTGTTTGTTGAAATATTTCATTTGGTATTCCATCAATTCTTGGAGCCTTGTTTTTGGCTAATACCTTTAAGCTTGGGGCTTTTTTTTCTTTTCCCAGTGTCATTGGTTGTTAATCATATGCTACCTCCTGAAATGGTTAAATGTTGACTAATACTTTTTGGTACAGTGGTTCTGTAGTCCTTCCATCTCCTTTTGATACTTCTTATGTGTTTCAGTATTTTATCATTTAAATTTAGAATCATTTAAAATTGCAACCTGAGCCTTGAATTTTTTTTCTTAGCTCTTTCTGCCTGAGAAATGCCAAGCATGTTCCACCCATTTGGATTTAAAACGCCAGGCTTTTGCAAATTTCATTATAGTCTTATTACCTTAAAATCTTCTCTTCGGCTTTGTTACATCACCATTTCTTGCATTCACTTTAGATAGCCTACATTTGTTTCACAGTCTCTTTTGACATCTCTTTGGTGTTTTCTTTCTTTTCTTTCTCTTTACCGACCATTTGATTTCATCATTTATGTTCTTTATGTTTGATCAATTTCAGAGAGTAGAAGTTTGTAACAACTTCATTTTCTCCTCATCCTTGACATTGATGGTTAATATGTAAATTTGAATAATAGTCATGCGACCTGGCTTCCTGCTAACCCATTGCCATTGAGTTGATCCCATCTCTGCGACCTATATAGAATTTGCGAGACTAAATCTTTACAGGAGCAGTTAGCCTTATCGTTTCCCCTCTTAAGCTGGTGGGCTTGAACCCCCAGTGCTGTGGTTAGCAGTCCTACACGACCCACAGCTCCACTGGGGCTGCTTGGGCTTCCTTACAGGCATATGAATATCATGCCAGCAGTGTACTTCCGGACCGATCTTCACATGTCCTTTTTTAATGCTGCATGTCATGCCATTCCTCTCCAGTTAGTCATTCCCAGCAGAGTAGACCAGCAGATTATCAGATTCAAAGTGGCCAGTACAGTTTATTTTCGTTCGCTAACACCTCAGATATCCATTTCTATGTGTTCCGTTTTCATTTTGATGCTGTCCAGTTGTCCTAGATTCATATTTCATACATTCTCTTTTTATTGCCAATGGATGATTGCAGCTTCCCGCCTCCCCTCATTTTGAGCAGTGCCACATTAGCAAATGAAAGTCTTTAAAGCTCGGCTCCACCTACATAATTCAAATGGACTCTGCTAAGGAGGCAGCTCTTTCCCATTCATTTTTCAAATGCCTTCCAACCTGAGGAGCTTATCGTTCTAGACTGTATCAGACACTGCTGTTCATTAGGTTTCTTTGTGGCTCATCTTCCCAAAGTAAACCACCACCTCACCTCTGTCCATTTATTGTCCTGTAGCTTGTGTGTTGCTCTGATGCTGGAAATTATGCACCATTATTTCAAACACCAGCAGGGCTACCCCATTTCCAGACTTAAGACAGGATAAGTAGAAAGAAGAGGTGCTCCATTTCTGGAACGTTAAGCCACATACCGACGTCTACAAAGTCTTAAGAAGAAAAACTAACTGGCACTTGTTAGGACATTCATATTTGCCAAATAAAGAATGTATGAGAGATAACTGAAAACTTGGCAGTTCAAACCCACCAGCCTCTCTGCAAGAGAAAGATGATGTTATCTGTATCAGGAAAAATTTGCAACCTTGGAAGCCCTATTTAGGGTCACTCTAAGTTAGCAATGGTAGTGGTGGATTGTTAGGAGTGCAGGGAGTTAGAGGAGGAAGAGTAAGATGGAGACAGCCCCGTGAAGTTCATGGAAGACTTGTTGGAGGTTAGAGGTGCAAAGACTCTTAGACAGGAAATGCCTTGGAATGTTTGAGTAATGGAAAGGCAGGTGTGCCTGGGTCACAGTGAACCAGATACTGATGGGTTGCAAAAGGTCATGTATTACTTAACCTAGCAAACATTGGTAAGAATGTCCAATGGATTCTAAGTATGAGCTAAGCCCCAAATGATTCTTTTTTTTTTTTTAAATCATTTTATTGGGTTCCTACAACTCTTTTCACAATC